GGACAATCCCTGTCATTGCCGTAGGTAGAGCTGTAGAGCTCGTTTCACAATAGGAAAAAACGGGTGTCCCACTTTTTATGCTCACGACGTACGTAAAGTCTGTTTTTTTTTTAAGATAATTTCCCAAGTCAAAAATTTAGTAACTTTGTTGGCAACACAAGCCTTTTCTTCATTAAAAATTTGAAAGATTGACAATTTTACATTGTATTGCCAACATAATGTCATTTTGACTTTTATCTTTAAAAAAAAACAGATTTTAAGTTTTTTTTGATACCTAACTATAAATACACGCTTTGTGAAGCAATTTACTTACCTTTTGAAAATTACTATAGGGCTCAGAATTCTCAAATTTACGGTCACAGTGCACGAAAAGTTCAAGATTTTCGTTTGCAAATCACAACGATCAACGGAACGATGCTAAGCATCTGCACGCTAGACAAGAATGCCAGGAAATTGGTCGTATCGTTACATAATGTCAGGTCTCAACTTGTCTGGAAATGTACCTACTTATGGCCAAATACATAATATACTTGCACAAATACCTACGTGTAGAAATGCACAAATACATGTAGAAATACACGAAAAAATACACAGATGTCATGCAGGCTTGATACTCCCAATAAATGATCAATCTTTCTATTACTTGAAATTCCCTTTTTTCTATAAAATGTTGTGGAATGCTAAATGGTTTTCGCTTTCTTTCCATTATTTTCAATCACTTATGGGTACCTAATTCACAAGTAATTCGAAACTAAAATTTACAAAAAACAAAATAACCCTTAAAAAAAGTTATGTTATGTTATTTTGTGTACATTTTTAGACTTTAATCAATTTTGGTAAATTTACCGACGTCGAACCAACGTTGCCTCCTATACCAAAGCTTACCTAGCCATAATAGGTCATATGGCGACGTTGTAGCGACGTCCAAAGATAATTTTCAATATTTTAGTCAAGCAAGGACGTTGGCAAATTACTCGTCGGCCACTTCAATTTTCGTAGGCGGCTTGCGTGGTCAAAGCATCGTTGTGCCGACGTTGTACTGCGACTGAAGCTGTGAAGTCGTAAAAAGACTAATATATGAACCTATTCTGACGTTGAAATAGGTACAGATAACGTTGGAAGACGGAAAAATGTTACTTGTGATGGGTAAAACGCCCACAATATTTCAAGCTGAGGTACATTCCATAAACATCTGAGCCCAATAGTTCCTTAAAAGAGGCTTTTAAGAGAGCACGTTTACCAAGGATCTATATAATAAGGGGGGGGAGGTTTTGGGGGTTCAAACCATGTAACCATGTAACCTATGTTCTCAAAAGAATATTATACCAATATGCTTGAAATATTCTTAGAATATATCTACATATTATTTTATCATTCTCAATATGCATCCTAGACATAACATTCTTGTTTGATTCTAGGAATATACTTGGAATGTTAATTTTCGCATCCAAATAATGCCTCTTCCAGTCCTTTTATATGAAAGGCAGTGAAAGAGTTGTTGGAAAACTTCTCTGGAAAACACAAGTGTTTAACCAAAGCTCCGGTTTCGAGCTTGTTATGCTCTCGTCGCGGTAAGCACGCCAACTAAGAGAAACAGGTTCCAAGGTGATTCAAACACTAGGCAAGATGTAGATCTTTAATAGCGCGTGGCTCCCTCTCTTGGAAGTCCTACAAAGTAAAAGAAAAAGAATATACCTATAATATTTTTAGTAGGTTCTAGATAGAGCATTATTGTTTAATTGTTCAATTAAGATTTTTTAGGTACTTTAGATAATTAGGTGAACAATATGGAAATATTCTTATCATGGTAACCTACCTACATAAACTTCTCAGCACAACTTGGTAGGTATATTCTTAATACCTGATAGAGATATTAGCCGAAAGAACATTTTGTTTACATTATAATAATGTTCGTATGAGAATATTCAAATAATGTTATATAAGGTAGGTTCTTAGCACAATCTTTCAGGTAGGTGCATAGAAGCAACATTCCTAGTACATAAATAAAACGTCCAAAAATGAATATTTCAATCGAAACAATCTAAGAATATTCATTAAACATTCCTAAAAGAACATTCCAAAAAGCACTTTGAGGGAATATTCTGAGAATATGAATGTTCTTTCACTGTTGTGGGTACTGACCGACAGTCAAGCGGCTCTAAAGACTCTAGGAGCCAAGTGCAATTCGCAGCTAGTTTGGGAGGGGAAAAATACCTTTAAGCAACTGGCTTGTAACCCTGATCATCTCCGAAGAAATGAACAGATGGATGGAACCGAGCTAGCTCATTGGAGATCTATTCCGGGTCTGCGACAGGCAAAAATGTTCATATCCATCTCATCAAAGAGATCTGAACAACTTCTTGACATGAACAGAAGAGACATTAGAATAGAATAGTCGATAGTCTGCTCACTGGGCACTGCGTGGTGAAATATCACTTAAAAACATTAGGCAAATCAGACAACGACCAATGCAGATCTGGCGAACAAGTAACAGAAACTACAGAACATTTAATGTTTGAATGCCCTGCTCACTTTTGCAAAAGACCTTGAAGGGGTACGGCTAACACCCCAAGACGTGGACACTTCACCACCCAGAAGCTGGGTTAGTTGGGGCGAAGCGTACACATCTTGGACACCAAATATATAGAAGCAGAGTCACGTACAAAATATCTAGGTAGCAGTGCAAGTAATAGCAAGGTTTTACTTGAGTACAGTAAGTGCAAAATGCTTGTGTGCGGTACTTAATAAGCCACCAAGGATTCCAAGAGATAGTCAGTAACTGTTGAAAGAATAAGTTCGGTGATGTGACGAGAAAGGAATACAAATTGTTGATCGATAGAACAGCCTTTTAAACTAGCAGACAAGTAATCACAAACAAGACTCTCAAATACTTTAGGGATACAACTTAATATACTGATGGGCCGATAGTTAAGTATGTATTAACCTGTGAACTATTTCCAGACTTCAATATGGGAGTAATGAAGCTTATTTTCCAATAGGCTAGGAATATCCCGGCCTTCAAAGAGAGGCTAGAGATATGGAAAAAAGGTCTAGAGAACAAGAAGCTACAGTATTTGATAAGTGATGGTGGGAGGCCATCAGGTCCTGATCCCTTGTTAATATCCAATTTGGATAGTTTTTCATAGATAGACGAGATATGTATGTTATATTTCGACAGATTGATGTGCCCAGAAGGCAGAATGTTCTGCAATACACAGTCTTTATCACTATAAGTTTTGGAAAAGTATTCAGCAAAACAAAGTGACAATCCCAACTCCAGAAGAACTAGTAACATCATCATAGCGCATAACAGAAGGTACCTATATTATTTTTGGCTTTTCTGCTGTTGACAAATATCCAGAAATTTTTAACATTATTTCTAAGGGACGATTCAGTTGAAGCAACGTAACTTTGATAACATCCTTTCTTTAGGTGTTTACAGTGAGCCCGTAATAAAGAAAACTCATAATCATCTAGTGATCTACTTCTACGGTATTTCTTATGCAATTTTTTTTTCAATTATCGTTTGTTTTAGTTCTGGAGAAAACCAAATAGGAAACTTCTTTGCTGAATACTTTCTCAAAGGAACAAAAATATCAATTGTTAGGTGGACAATGTCGTAAAAAATATTAACCATATCCTCAAGAGATTTGTTCTTGAATAAATCATCCCAGTTAAACAGGAAAAGGAAACTTTGATACTTCTTGGACATTCATCGACTTAAAATCCCTATTAATAGCTATCCCTAGTCAATCCCGAGTTGTTAAAACAATTTGATCTATATTCGACCTCAAAAGACAGTGGCGGATGATGAATATCTTCCGGAAGTAAGGCGTTCTCTGCTGTAAATATCTTAGTGTAACCATCCTGCATAAAAACCAGATCAAGTTAGTTTGTTGTTAACATTTCTGACTGAATTAAGTTGATGAAGGCCATGGTATGAACATAAAAATGAAAGAACTTGTATGGATCCAACTTCATTTGGTGGAACTGGCGCCGTAGGAGCAGCAACTGAAGACAATCCATCATTATGCCACTGACAGTATGGCAGATTAAAATCTCTTAGGATACAAAGTTTGTGTTCTGGATATTTTTCAGATAGATTCTCAACACTTTAACTAAGCTCCATGTACTTTTCTGGTGCACTTCGGGGTGGGAAATAAGCTGTTGCGAAGATAAAATTGTTGTTACCACTTTGGACTTTAACAAACAATTGCTCAATATTTATGGTACCTAGCTGATAAAATTGTGCTGGTTATGGTTTTCCGGACAGCTATTAGTACCACACCTCCTCTAGAAAAAGTACTTGTATGTGAGGATCTGTCCTCTCGATATATGCTATACATTTATAGTTCAGCGTCATTAATATCGCCAGTTAATCAGGTTTCATTAAAGACTAAAACATCATATTGGCAATAAGAGGTATTTTGATAAAGAAGTTGAAGTTTTGTACGTAGGCCTCTGAAATTTTGGAAATATATGTTAATGTTTTTATTATTTTATTTATTATTCAAAGGGTGGTTATGTACCTACTTTTCACCTTTGTGTGGTAATTTTGCATGCAATAAAGATTATTTTATTTATTTTTATTTAAACATACTAAAATTTCATAAAGAATGAGCCAAGAATAACTAAATTGTGATTTTTCAAAGCTGAATAAACTTTAATATTTCTACCATATATAGGTAATAAGACATCTACACACAGCGTCAAAAATCTTGGACCCCCTGATTCCATTTTCTCCTGATAATTTTGAGCTTGGGAAACTGAAGCAGCGACTCCAAATGCAATCTACAATCTACAATTCACAATAATATCCATAAAACACAGAGGTATTCCGTGAATTACTGAAACTACCAATAAATCCATATGTTTAAACTTCATATACATTGTAACTTTTGACACTGATGTCCAGGAATCTCTTGAGTAGTGATGATAATAGGTACCTACCCATATTTGTTATCTAAAGCAGAAAAATTAGGAAATAATACAGCAAACAATTATTACGTATTTGAAAATATGTATTTAAATAAAAATTATATACAACACTTCATATTTTTGTCTATAACATAAAATAACCAAAAATCCACAAATTTTGTTTAATCTAACACGTGTGTCATTTAAATATACCTAATAATGGCACTTATGTTTATTAAAATTATTATCTTTGAAATTCATTATAAAATAAAACCTATAAACTTAAATTTAATTATTTATTCTGATAAAAACAAGAACTAAAGTTATAATAACAATATGTAAAATAATTACAATGGGCTCTTTCACTAATTTTTGAAATTGGCATATTTGGATAAAGCAACTAAAAACAGAATTTTCTGTATTTTTACTTTTGAGAAATTCAAAGTCCTTCTTGAGAAAACAGAAAACAAAGAAATACCTCCAAATAAAAACCCAGAATTTATTTCTATGACGTCGCAGCTCGCAATTTGACCGTGTTGCCACTAATTGTCAACATTGAAAATTTGTAATAGATTTAATTCTGAAATGTTGGCAAAATCTCATGAAAAGTAGTTAACTTAATTAGTTATAGATTCAAGATTTTATAACATTTTTTTTTTTTTAATTATGCTTAAACACAATTTAATACAATTTTTTATGTTTAGTTTTATTTATTTATTTTACGCTGCACTACATTTAGTCACAACCGACAACAGCGCATTCGAACCTCTACGTATCTTTACAGAGCGCAAACACAGCCGAGCCGGTCCTCCTTGCAACAACATAGGCGAAATGAAGAATATTTATGTGACGTCGGCAAATCGGCGCGTTTAAAATTAATTTGAATTTGGCCACTTTTGATTGCCTGTGAAAAACTTATTGAACCTTGTAGAACATTTTTTTTTGGTATATATGCCTAAAATAGTCCCTCCTTTGAGATTTTATACTTAAATTACGTATTTAAATTTTAGTGAAAGAGCCCATTTCATCTTTTTTTTTGAGCAATTTTGACCAGTGTGTTCAAAATATACAATATTATATTCTAGATTTTAGGATAGACATTACTCGCAATAGCGCAAATCACCCACTAATCTAGGTATATATTACTGTACAATTTGCACACAATAATGAGTATAGGTATTATTGAATAGACAAATAAAAATTTGCACAGTTTATGTCATTGCCTCCATGGCTATTGTTTCTTATTTGCAAAAGTAAAGTTTGATAAGAAAATCTGTATATCAAGGGTATTATACAATAACCGAAGAGATTATTATGGACTAGCTACTATAGCCAGTGGACGATTTTGGCTATTGCGAACTTATACATATTAGAGTAGGTACATAATAATATATTAAATCTTTGAAAATATTATATTATAATATTAATTTCTTTTTCATTATGATGTTAATTAGTAGATATAACTAGAATAAACTTATTAAAAATCTCTAACATAAAAATACATTTTAACTAATATCGTATTGGTATTATGTTGAAGAAAAAACAGTACAAAAATCAGACTGAAATAGAATTGTTGAAATAACGTCATTCATAAAGACAGAAATAAATATTTCAACAAGTTTCGGGAATAAAAAACAATTTTAATGCCATTTGCTTCTGCTTGTGTCATATGTTCCATTTTTATATTATAAAGCCACCCTAAAACAAAATAAGAAATTATTATTTAGATGGCCTCATAAGCAAAGTCATAAGTAGGTAACTTAAGAAAATTTGAATTTGAGTCTCCAAGAAACTGACTATTACAAGGCAACACCTCATTATCAATTTCACAAAGCTTTGAAAAACAAGAATTCGTTATTATTTAATGGTAATATTTTTGCGGAATTAGTATATGGAGTATGAGAAGTTTCGAATTTTTCTTGGGAGGATTTCTTAAACCAAATTAACAATAAAGTGGTGTATGTAATCTTCAACATGAAGAACTTGTATTGAACCTAAAGTGAGGGTTCGTTAGTTGCCTTCCATTTTCTTTTCCCAATCTCTTCAGTTTTTGGATTGACCTCCTTGCAAAACTGTATAATTTCAGAAATTTTGGATATAAGGCAGGTAATTAAAGGAATAAAAAATACACGTCACTAGACTTAACGAAATCCGATAAAAACCTGTTAACGGATTTGCGGTCAGATGACCAGAATCACTTGACCATGAAAACGGATCCAAATCAAACATTCTTAACAATAGAGGATTTAATTAAGATTATTTTGATATAGTAGGTAAGTGTTGCGTTTGTTTGATTCTTTAATCAACTTGAAGACAATGGAATAGATGATGTAACATACCTTTATCTTCGATGTCCTCTTCCGTTTATTTGAGCCCCAGTCATAATCACAGGTCCTGGACCCATACCCCTTGGATCGTACATGCCCCTAGGTACCTCTGATCTCTCCAATTCATCACCAGAAAGATCCAAGTCTTGAACCATTTGCATTATTTCTCGTTCTTTTTTAATGTCTTCTCTATCTACATCCTTAAAACGATATTCATTATGATTTAATAATGTTTAGAGTATATGTTTATCTTACTTCGTGTACGCCGTTTGGTATCGGAGTAGCAAATTTCAAATTGGCCAAACTTCCGTAACTACGACTCCTGTGTTCCTGCCTAATAGAATAAGAAAATGCTCTTTCGTTAAGATGACCTTTTTTCCTAAAAGAAATTACATGCCCCTAGTGAATTTTTTTTGGATTTATTACACATTTTTGAACCGGGGTTAGTCTTGATCTAAATCTAAATTATTAGTCAATACGATTACAATAATTATTGTATTAAAAATATAAATTGTTTTTTAAAAGTAAATTATTACCTATAAATTCCAGTATTAAAAGGACTCTCATCATCTCGCATAAGATTTGGATCGTCTAAGCCATTCATACTTTGAGCTAGTTTTTTATTGAGCTTTCCTTGTTTTTCCATAGACTTTTCTCGACTTCTTCTTTGTTTACCTTAAAACAAGAGAATTATTGAGTTAATAAGTTGAGAGTTCGAAGTTCGTTTATCGACTATCAAACTTCCATTAGATCAAATCAAGGAATTTTTTTCTGGTATATTATCCACTGATGTTGAGGAAAATAGCCTAAATACTCACCTTGACTTTCAACTGTAGCATATTGTTGCATCAAATAAGCTTCGTGTGGAAAATTCACTGGCTGATAACTAGCCACAGGACTGAGGGCTCTATTGCTCGGCATGTAAATTGGCTCTTCCATAGGCCTCTGATACTTTTTCTTATTTTTGGTTAACGTGGTTGGAGCCGGAATTATCATTGGCCCCATCGGTACCATCGGAGGCGGAATTGGACGAGCTGGGATTAGCATTCTGCCTCTTGGACGATGCGAAAATGTATTTCCTGGATAAAGAAACATGATGATTCACTTATAATATAATGTTACTAGAAATCTAATTATAAAGCCTTTTGAGACGATATTCTATCGCCAAAGTCTATGGATTGATTTATATACGGCATTCTCAAGTAAATATGTTCAAATTTCAAATACGTCTAGTTTGGAGAATTACCTACCATGGTGTTTAAAGAACTTTGGGTTTGGTAAAGTACCCTGATAGGGTCCTGGAGGTGGTCCTACTATGTAAACGGGCTGTGGAGGGCCTGGGGGCATACCCATGTGTACTGGTAAGCTGTGCCTCGGTTTCATTAAGGTACCTGATACACTGTTGGCCTAAAACAATTCAAAAAAAAAAGTTATGTTTTTATGATGTCTGAAATTCATCATGAATTGATCTTGCAGCTGTTGTAGGCGCGGAAACAGGAATTTCAGAAGGGTACAAGGCCTATGGACGCTGCAGAGAGATCGAGACGTGAGATGATGATTTAGTTTTCACATCCATAAGCACCAGAAGACTTCATTGAACAACTTCATCGATCAAATATACAGATCTAAAGTAAGCACTTAAGGCGGCTGAGTGAGCAAAACACCCTAGCCAAAACTGGAGTATGAAGTTGCCTGCCTCTTCGAACAGAAACTGGAAGCACCCAGAGAACAGTCAAATATAGCAGCAGATTTATTCAAAAATTTGGTGTCGATGTTTTAGGAGTACCTACTGCTTGGAAAGATATAAATGTTATATGGATTTCACGACTACAATGACCTCCAGACGCGTCTCATCACCACGGTCGTACAAAGTATCGCAAAATCTAGACGCTTCTTCAGCAAGTTATCCTGTCATTCCTGTCTGAACATGTCACGCCAAGTACTGCTCCATCGTCGCAACGCTCCCATAGAAACAGCAAGATCAACATGTTTTAAAATATAAAAGACCCTGTCTCTTTAGTTAGGACGTCATTATTAATTTAGTTAAGTTAATGTCCAATATAATAGTAACCTGTATTTTAAAATAAATTAGTGTTTTTTAAAAAAAGAGATTTCAAGAGTTTTGAGATAACAATTTGGCGCAGTCGTTAGGACCTGTCATCGTTTTCAGAACAAGAATATTCTAACTGATAGTGGCGGATTCTAATCCTTCAAACAGAAAAAGAACGGAAAAATCCCAACTCGAAGTGAACACGACGAGAACACGACGATTCCATGGAGCCTTTTTTGCATTTACCATATTTTGCGAAGTTTTATTTTAACATATTTTGAAAATTTGCCAACCAATTTTTATAAATTGTTTTAATTTACCATTTGTCCATTTTAAAAATTTTCCCAATCAATTATTCCCCTAAAAATCGTTTTATTTCACGATATTTTGAAAATTTACCAACCAATTATCATGAATCGTTTCCATTAACCATATTTTGAAAAGTTTGTCAACCAATTACTTTCGAAGTATTTTTTTGTTTTTGAATATTTTTATTTAAATCAACAAAATGCCTAATGAAACCACTGTGGAAGTTGAACCATACAAACATACCGAAATATTTTCGATGATTCCTGAATTTGAAGAAGATCAAATCTTTTTAATTAACTTAATGCATGCGTCTGTGCCTACAATATGGCAACCATGCAGCAAAAAGTTTTACTTCTTATTCACATTAAAAATAAGCTCAGAGGTAGAGCAGGTCAACTGATAAGTTATCGAAACCCCAATTCCTATTTGGAGATCGAACAACTTCTGAATTTACACTTTGGAGATTCTAGAGACCTCTCAGCTCTTATCGATGACCTCCAACGACTCAAACAACTACCTACCTGGCGAGTCCCCCCTTACGTTCTACAACAGACTCCAAGTACTGAATGCAAAAATGCATTTTTCTATCCAAAAGTCACCACACTTTAAAACAGTAGATCAAAAAGAAGCACAGTCCTCGCTTGTGGAATCTATGATCCTCAACACTCTTCTTACAGGCCTAGAACCTCGCCTTGGCCAAATTATCAGAGCTGGAAGCCCACACTAGCTTTTAGATGCTCATAATGTAGAATCAGGAGAGAAATCAAACTTTCCTATTTTGAGAATCAGAAGACTCCAAAACCTCCTGTTCAAAAAGTTTTGATCAACAAACCACAATCATCCATAAAACGCTTTTCTTACGGAAAAATTGGCCACACAGCCAATCAATGTAGACAACAAGCTTCCAGTCGTTCAAACTTCGCTCAATACCCAAATCAAAATTTCCAAAAAACGACAACAGCTAACTACTCAGGTACCGCAAACCAACAACCAATGTTCTGCAAAATAGAACCCAAAATGCATCCACTTCGAAACAATTCGAACCAAGATACGCTTCAACTACCCCTCAAGGAAACCCCAATTTTTACCCTAACCAGCAAAAAACTTATCTTTTAAATGATTCCTCTAATGAAACATAATATGCCAACGAATTTGAGTACGCTGAAAGCCCTCATTATGAACAAGATGCTAGTTATGAAGAAAACGAATATGTTGAACAGTTCACTACTGATCCGAACGCTGAAAATTATCAGGATTTTCTGGTACCTTTTACCAATCACCATCAGCCAGAGAATACCCCTCAAGATCACACTTCGAATATCGAGACTCAAATACAACTTCTGGATCTAGACAACACGAATTCGAACCTCAATTTTCCGGAACAAGCATTTCTTCAAACCCACTTCTTACTGTTGTACATTTATAATGCTTCCAATTAATTCAGATTACTTATTAATACAGGTGCAGGTATTTCAATTTTTAAAGAAAATACTGTTCGTAAATTTCCCTATCGCTCCGAAGAAAACGTAACCATTCAAGGTATCACCGATCAAAAACTTCAGATCCGTGAATCAACACTTGTACCGTTCACCCTCCAAGATTCTCACAAAGTGTATATTTACAACTTGAATAATGATTTCGATGGAATTTTAGGGTTGGATTTCCTAGAACATTATCAATGTGTGATAGATTTAAAAGCTAAAGAACTTGTAACTAATTTCAAAACTATCCCTCTTCATAAAGTTACCGAAGATGACTACCCTAATAATGCAAAACCAAATAACACTCAATCAATTCTTAACAAAATATCTATAGAAACTAGAAGTGGAAAGATCTTTAAACTCAAGTGTGATCTATCCAACACAGATGCTTTACTCTTTTCTCAAGAAAAAGAAAAAGTCAAATTACCCAATGCTTCAGTAAAAGTCAATGAACAAGGTGAATTTTTAACCTCAATTGAGTCAATTGTAAATATTAACGCTATAGAAAAAACCGTGGAGTTTTCGAACTTGTCTATCGAAGCATTTATCTCAGAAAGTGAAACTCAAAAAACCATTCTTTTCAACATCTCTAACCTCAAATATGACGATACTTATGATAGGCAAATGTCCATACAAAATGAACTTCGTACAGAATATTTAAACGACGAAGAAAAAGAACTAATTAACAACTTATGCCTGAACTTTTCCGACATTTTCTACCTGGAAGGTGACACGCTCACATTTACTATTGACACCAATAATGCAAAGCCTGTGTATACCAAATCTTACAGGTACCCCCAAATCCACAAAGAAGAAGTCACAAGTTACCAAAATGCGAATTACGATCTGCTGGATCAATTGGGAAAATGTCAATATTTTACCACCCTTGACCTAGCCTCAGGTTTTCACTAAATAGAAGTAGACCCCAAGGATGTTTCGAAAACCGCTTATTCCGTGGAAAATAGCTATTACGAATTCGTACCTATGCCATTTGGATTGAAAAATGCCCCGTCCACATTCCAAAGAGTTATGGACAAAATTTTCCTCGGCATTCAAAAGGAAAGATGCTTAGTCTACATGGACGATAAAATCGTTTACTCTCCTACCATCCACGAACATATTTCAAGAATAACTGAAGTATTTAAACGCCTCCGTAAAGCTAACTTAAAAAACCAGCCAGACAAATGTGAGTTTCTTCGAAAAGAAGTAGCTTACCTGGGACACCTTATCACTCAATTTTGCTAAAACATCGAAGCCCTTGACAAAACTTCTCTAGAAAGACGTTCCAAAACCAAACTAACAGACTTACATTACAAAATTAGAGATGATCTATTCGAGGAAAATTTCGATTTTCAACCTAATCAAGTTAACATTTTATCCAGCAAATCTCTGAAGGCACGCAAATACTTCAAAATTCCCATTCCTTGCAAAAATGAGAAAATAGTCCCTACCCTCTTTCACTCGCTCTTCAGGTGTCAAAACTCAAAACGAATTTGACCCTGAAAAAACGTTCTGCATAGAAAACAATCCAGAATTACCTATTCTTGAAATATTTTCCTTTATATTTGCCGAAAAAGACATTAAGCTTAAGACATGCCAAAATATCGTCAAAACCCCAGATCAAGGCCAAATCCCAATTATCCTGGAACAATATCATACTGGAAAAACAAATTAACATCGTGGAATCAATAAAACCGTTAGAAACAAATACTCCTAGCAAGGTTCAACCAAAGATGAGAAATTTATCAGAGCCTGTGAAATCTGCCAAAAAGTCAAAATCTGTAGGAAAAATCTTATAGTTCTCCTCTCGTTATCACTGAAACTCCCAAAACTCCATTTGTAAGGATTAACATTGACCTTTTCGAATTCCCAGTTCGTAACTACGCCCTAACAGTTAGGGATGAACTTACCAAATTCACTCAAGCTTACCCAATCTCAGACAAAAAGGCGTTCACAATTGTTAACACCCTACTAGTATTCTTCCAACATTACGGCACACCTTTAAGAATTCACTGTGATTATGGGGGTGAATTCAACAATGCCTTACTCAAAGACCTTTGTCAACTCTACGACATAAAATTGAAATTTCCAAGCGTAAACCACCCAGAATCCAACGGATCGCTGGAAAGATTCCATGGAACTTTAATATGGAGATAATCCGCGTTAATAAAGCGGAACATCCAGATGAACACCCATTCAACATTCTCCCGTACGCAGTTATTTGTTATAATAATACCAAAAAGTAATTTCAAGAGTTTTTGAGATCACATACATAGTAGATACAAGATCTAGAAAATCAATAAGCTCTTACAACTGCAGTGGAGAAGGATATATTAGTAGAAACTGGAATCACTGGCACTTTCCAAACAAAAAAATATGATTTGATAATCGATGCACGGGGGCATGGAGATTTCTTTTGTGACAGTACAGTGTCGAACCACAACTAGAACTAGAAACAGCGAAAGGAGATTCAAGTAACGTTGTTGTGTTGGACATATGACCGTGTAGGCAACACTAAACTTAAAATAGAAGTGGATGAGTTTTTATTGGGTGTGGATTTGCTAGAAAGCCTTCTTTACCAATATAGTAGGCTTTTATAAATACAATTCTGAAAGTGAGAAATGAAGTCAGCGATTAGGAGAAAGAAGAAGTACCAGATAAAATTGCTGGGCGAACCAATATTTAGTAGAACAATGGATGGAACTAACAATATGTAGGTACAAATGGAAAAACTAGATACCTACACAGTTCGGATCAAAATATTCAAGAATTTACCTTTCCATTCATCAAAGGATGGTACAAGTCCTCCCTTGAGCCAGCTAAGGACTTCGAAAGCATTTTGTTTTTCTTCTTTTTTTCTTTTGCTGGCGGTGGTGGAACGGCTACGGGCTGAGATACTTGGCGTGGTCGCGACGGTCGGCCCAAGGTTGACGGGGCGTAAATATCGTAGATTCCGTCTAAATTGTCTTGGCTACCTGCCCAGACCTAAAAAAGAAATATTACCATTTAAATATCTTATGTAAACTGAGGCCTCTACTTTAGTTAAAATAGTTTTAACTTGAAAATGTAAAGAATGGAGTACCTACTTGAAGCCAGAAAGGCAATGCAAAATCTAAGTTAGATTCACTCAATACCTTTTGGATAGAAAAATTGATTAAGACAAAACAACTAAACTATAGAACAAATTAGAGGTTTCCACTGAAGCTGAATTTGAAAATAAGGAAACTGGACGGAGACTCTGTAAGGGATAGAGATCGTTATCTCCATCGCTATGGCACTTGCTATGTTATTCTCTCTTTTCGAAATCAATAGATGCAGGGGACCCCAATAGACATAGAGAAAATATCTCTATTCGCTACAGAGTACCAGCTCTGTTGACAATATGGTGTTTATAATAATAGGCATCTAAAATAATGTTAAGAATAGATAAAATATCAGAAAATTATGAAACCACATGTTTGCCAGGAAAGCAAACCAGTCTGAATTCCAAAAAAGTTGATATTTTGAAAACTGCAACTTAAAAGCTGCACCTAGCCACAGCATATGGACATGTTTACTGTTCATACCTTATGGTTTTCATCACCATTGTAAATACTAACATCATCTTTTCCATTTCCTATTGTGTTCAGGGTCATCGTTGATCCAGATTGCGATCTACTCATCTTCCATTCATCAATCTACAAAAACAAAATATAATATTACCCATCTAATAAAACAAAGCAAATATTAAAATTAATAACAGTTGACAACTACCTAAGTAATGCTTCCTGGACAAGATAAAAACATATATATAAATGGTGTGTAAATCAATTTACTCACCTTATCTTTATTTGTTAGTCTCTCAGAAGCCAATGTACCATAGATACTTCCCACAGTGTCTACTTGTTTGGCGTAACTAGAATCGGCATAGGCGTGGAAACAACAGCGGACCTTTTCAATAATTTTTTGTTAAATTTTTATGTACTTAAATATTTATATTCTTACCAATGCATTAGCAGCAACCTCCCTTTTGCAAATAAAAGCATGACATTCAAGAACCTTTATGCCAGTAGTCCTTCTTAAAATGGCTGCAAATAAGGGAGGATGTGTGGGGTTTGGAGCTCTCGCAAATGGCGAATCCAGAGGTAAGAATTTGGGTGACGGTGAATGGAGGGTATTCTTTTCTGGGACTAGAACGTATCTGTAAAAATATAATAAAGATTATTTCATGGGAAATTGAAATGCATAAGCAAATTTTCACACGCTATTCCGTTTTACTGAATTTTCTAATACGTAAATTACTTTTGTGAATTCTTGAGAACAATATGAGGATGATGGTATGGCGTGAGAAAAATAAGTTTTACCTTTCCTCATTTATACAAAAATTTTTCAAACAGAAAATTATTGCAACTATTTACATAGTAGGTGATAAATAATTATAAATCATGAGATTTTAGTATGTTAGTACGCCAATTATTGGTATTTTCCTGTTTAGGGCTGCATCAATTGTTATTATGTTTGTTGGTTTTACAGAAATTTATTACAGACTGATATTAGGTTTGTTCCAACCCAGCAGGAAACCATAATATTACCGTCAGAATTCTGCGCAAAACAAAAAATTTTTGCACAGAAACCGAAATTCGTATAGAGAGTGGTTCCGAAACCGTTCTGGGACGGTTTTTTGACGGGTTGGAACAAACCTAATATTGAATTTATTCACATTTTAATTTTTTTTTTCTATTTTGGTGTCATATCGAAGTCTTTTCGACACTAAAAGTAGTTTCGAAAAGAAGCTCTTTGTGACACTCCTTTTTTACTTATCGGAGGTTGGTGACACTGACTGACTGATGGCCATCAAACTGACATTCGCTATTTTATAATAGAAGATTTCTATATTTGGCATGTAGTGTTACCAACCTAAACTATGAAATCTGGAAATATGAGAATAAAATTTCCAAGAAAAATTTGTTTTTTTAATTAAACAATACCAAAATAGAAAAAATGGTATAAAATATTCGTTTCATAAGACATTTTATCGCACTCGCCCTTTAGAAAACTCGCCTCCGGCTCGTTTTCTAATATAGGGCTCGTGCGATAAAATGACGTCTTATGAAACTTGTATTTTAATGTACTATTGTAGCATGAATTAAATATTTATTCTTATATGAAACTGACCCCTTGTTAGTGATCGACATAATGATGGTAAATATTATCACTAACAGCACAAAGAAGAGAAGACCATCGGAAAAAATCCACAAAATAACTACCTAGGTAATTGACAAAGTACCTAGACGAGCTAAATTACTAGAATTACGAAGGAGGGAGGTTGAATTGGAACGAGAGAATTGGTATCTCTAACCAAGTATCTGTTGTTATTGCCATATCTGTGAACGCAGCAATACATAAAACCAAACATGGTAGTATCAGTATCAATAAGGATTTTTGTGTTTTACGATAGTAGTGTTGAAATCCTCCATCTGTCAAAAATTAATTTTCAACAGTTGACATAACACATGTTTAGCTTTTGACTTTCAATTGTTATTGTCAAGAGAAAGCAAGAATTGTGGGTACTTTGAGTTTATAATGAATAAAGATTATTACAAATCGCAGTCCAACTTTTGTCCACGATATTCCTCAAACTCCCATAGGTTATGGGCCCAGCGATATAGTTGGACACTGTTGGCTGTTAGTATAAACTGAAAAGTAAAGTGAATGCTTAGTATTCTGTAAGTCGCTGAGGTAAGGAAGAAGTGAAAGTTATAGCAAAGGCAGCTCAAACACCGCAGCATATAAATGTGACGCCCTTCAACGGCACAGGCTTTTCTAACCGGAAATTTAGGGTTAAGTTAGCCCTTGAGCAAGCTGGACTGCTCTACGTTTTGACAATAGATCCCCCTATTGTTAATCCCTCAGCGCCTGATGTGGCTGCAAAAGAGAAAGAACTGAAAACATGGAAGAATGACGACGTGAGATCCCGAAATATAATAGTGCAATGCTTAGCAGACAATATGCTGGAATTGATAAAGACAAAACCGACAGCTAAAGAAATCCTAGAAACTTTGAGCAACACATACACTATGAAAGGCATTTCAACTCAAGTTATGCTACAAAAGCAACTTCGAGGGCTAAAGTTTTTGGCAGAAACCACCTTAAATATTTTTTTAACTACCTTCGAACAAACAGTCTGTGAATTGAGAGCGGCTGGCGGAAAAATTGAGAGCAGTGAAGTAGTCTCACAGCTACTATCAGCAATGCCAGAGTTATATCAAGAAGTTGTCACGGTAATAGATGTCATGTTTTGCCAAGACGAATCAAAAGTCACCTTAGATTTTGTAAAAAAATAAATTGCTGTTTGAAGAAACAAAAAAAGAAAATAAAGAAGGTCAATCAAACACTGACCAGGCAGCATTTGCAAGATTTAGAAAAAATTGGCAGAGAAGAGGGGGACATTCACGAGGAAATTATTCAGGAAATTCCTGAGGGAATTACGAAAGGAGGCCATTTTCACTTAAATGTCATAACTGTGGAGTCGAGGGTCATATGAAGTATGAATGCCATAAGTTTAGTAAGGCTGGCACTGGAAAAGTGCATGTAGCTTAAGAAACTATTGATGGTAGTGACAGATCAGGTGATGGAATAACATTTCTAGCAGAAGGTGCAAGTGAAGATATCTCACAAATAGGCGAAGAATCATGTGCAATCCAGTGCAACAGTAGAAAGATCAAATTCATAATATATAATGGTGCAGTCATCTGGTAGATGACGGCATTGGATAGTTTTTAGTTAACACGCAGGAAGTCTCATACTCAATAAAAGTTGCAAAACAAGGGGAGATTATGCAAGCAACAAAGAAAGGGAATCTGAACTTGAAATTTGACAGTAACCAAAATGTTTTAATAAAAAAATGTTTCATAATCTACTATCAGTGCAAAAACTTGAAGAAAATGGTTATCAAGTCCTGTTCACAGATAAGCAAGCACAGATAATTAAAAATGGAAAAATGGTTTTGAAAGGCCATCTATGTGGAAATCTCTATGTAATTGCACTGAAACTCCCTGAAACACCACAAACACATTTAACATCAAATGAAATGTTGCTTCAGCATAGACGAACGTGACATTCATGCAAGTTTCCTGCACCTAGTGTTTGTGAAGTCGGTCTTCAGGGCAAACAAACAAGACGGCTCTTTGAAAGAATAACAAATGAAAGAAAACGAAAACGTATCTTAGAAGTAGTGTCAACGGACGTTTGTGGACCAATAAATCCACCAACATGCGATGGAAATTCGTATTATGTGAGCTTCATTGACTTCATTTTGGAATGATTTACTTGATGTCGAAGAAGAGTGAGGTTATCAACAAGTTTACAGAATATGTGCCCCAAGTCCCAAGTTGAAGCAAAGTTTGCGACAATGGTGGTGGGTGCTCGTCCACTGAATTTAAGAGATTTTGTATCAAAAGGCGAATAGAAATTCAGTACACTGTTGCTCGCAATCCAGAGCAGAACGGAGTTGCAGAGTCAGAGCGATACAACAGAACTATCCTTGAAAAGGCAAGGTGTCTTATTTTTGATGCGAAACTAGAAAGGAACATGTGTGGAGGAGCTGTAAGAACTGCAGTGTACCTAACAAATGGAATTCAATCTAGAACATTACCAGAACATGTCCTGCAGAAGTCTGGTATGATGCAAAACCAAACCTGAATAAAATCAAGCTTTTTGGTGCAACAGCTTATAACCTAATTCCAAAAGAGGAAAGAACCTCAAAACTTGACTTCCACAGTAAAAAGTTGATAATGGTTGGGTACATCAATAATGGCTACAGGTTGTGCGAACCAGAAACTGAGAAAATAGTGGTGGGAAGAAACGTAGTTTTTGATGAAATAACAAATGAAGGCCAAATTTCTATAGAATTAAATAATGAGAAGGAAAAAGACGAAGAAAAATAGGTTTCAGAACAAGAAGAAGTTATAGAGCTTGAAAATAGACAAAATGAGACGGCACAAAACATCAGAAAAACCCGCACCAGAATCAGACAACTTCCCAAACACTTAAAAGACTACGACTTAGAGTTTGAAGCAGACTTTATGGCTTCTCTTTCTGCGGTTGGAATAATTTCTGATGTACCACAAATATATGATGAAGCAGTGAAAGATGGTGGCTGGCAAGAAGCCATAAATCAGGAACTGGATTCACTCAAAGAAAACTGCACACGGGAATTAGTGTCTGCGCCTGAAACTCAGGAGATTACTGATTCAATATGAGTATTCCGTGAAAAGAACCTCAATGGTGAAACTATGAAAAAGGCTAGGTTTGTAGCTCGTGGATTCAAACAGTACTGACTTGATGAAGATGTGTACGCACCAGTTGCTAGAATGGTGACGATTCGTGTGTTATTATCCCTATTTCTTGGAAATAATTTATTCGTGCAGCAATTAGATGTAAATTCTGCATTATTTACATACATACCACAGATAAAAATACTAATCTAGTACGTAAACTTTATAAATCTTTGTATGGTCTCAAGCAGGCACCTAAATGTTGGAACAGTTTGTTTCATAAAAATCGTGTAAATTTAGGTTGAGAAAGATCTAAAGAGGATCCCTGCTTATATTTTGATGATGAAACTTTTTTTTTTTGGTGTATGTAGATGATGTGATCATATTCTCAGAAAGTACGGATAGATTAGCTTACTTGAAGTCAGAACTTTCGAAGGTTTTTATAATGGAAGAATTCAAAAATTCAAAAATAACCTTTTTGGGACTGGAAATACAATAATTTGAAAATAAGTTTCACATTAGTCAAAAAGGATTAATAAATAAAGTTTTACAAAAATTCAGAATGTTAGATTCACAGTTTTCTGAAATTCCTATGCAGCCAAAATTATAGTTATCTGGTGATTATCGTGTTTTTAAGAGTAAGCTTCCTTATCGTGAGCTCAGTCTAATGTACATCATGCTTGGGTCTAGGCCAGATTTAAGTTTTTCCATATCTTACTTCAGCCAAAACACCTTCTCTGAAGAGCATTGGAATTGCTTGAAGAGAGTTACTTAAACCTAACTAAAAATTTTGGTTTAAAATACCTATATTGAAAGTAACAATCCTAAATTTAATTTCTTTCGTGGATTCTGATTTTGCTAATAGTATTGTTGATCGTAAGAGTATAATAGGTTTTGTGATCAAATTGAATAATAATGTAGTTTG